AGAAACGTGGTCGTAATTTCGTCGGTAGTGGCAGGCGTAAATTCTTGTTGTCCAAAAGGACTAGTTGCCCTGTTGCCATTGTAATATCCCGTCGATGTAAATCCGCATACCGTCGGGCAGTAGCGTTTGCCTTGCGAATAAGTTCGACAGCTTTGTCTCGGGCAGTCTGTAGTTCTTCGACGAACTGCTGCGATCGTGGTACTTGACTCTCAACATTGGTGGAAATCGGCACGGTAGGGTCCATCCCATAATTGAGATAAAACGGGGAGTGATTAGTCGTAGCCGAGGGCGCGTTGTTGTAGGAAAATTCCAACATGGGCAGCACGTCCTCCCATTTTTTCCGGTCGGGGCAGTTTGTCCGAATGAGCTGCTCCATCGTTTGATTTGTCCTTTCCGTCTGGCCGTCCGTTTGGGGATGATAAGCGGAGGAGAACTGTAGACGCGTGCCGTACCGAGCCCACGTGTCTTGCCAGAATTTTGACGTGAACTTCGGATCTCGATCACTAATGATTGCTGCTGGTATCCCGTGTAGACGAACAACGGTCGAGATGAACAGGCGTGCTGTTTCTTCGGCTGTGATGGTTGTACGACATGGTGCGAAATGCGCCATTTTCGTCAATCGGTCGACAACAACCAAAACTGCGTCGTTTCCGCTGGGTCCGGCCGGTAGTCCCGTAACGAAATCCATCGTTACGTGTTGCCATGGGCGTTGAGGTGGCCCGAGGGGCTGCAATAATCCTGTAGGTCGCTGGTGTGATGCCTTCATTCGCTGGCAGATCGGACACGCGGTCACGTAACGCTGCACGTCCGTCACCATATCTGGCCAGTAATAAAACCGCTGCAACGCCTTCAGAGTTTTATCAACCCCGAAATGTCCCGATAAATTCGAATCGTGGACTTCTTGAATTAGTAATTCGCGAAGTAAACGATAACTTGGGACCCAAATTCGATCAGTCCTGCTTCGTAAGTAATAGACGCCTTTCCGTGTAGTAATTGGGAGATGGCCGTCGTTTACGAAGAAGGGGTCAGTTGAATACCCGTGGGTAAATAGTCCACTCAGTAGCGGGTTGCTCTGGGCGACGAGTACGGCTGCGAGCTGGGCAGATGGTCTGGAAAGAGCGTCAGCAATATTGTTGGCGCCTTTTTTATACGTGATCTTGTACGTGAAATTGGACTCCAGATAGTCCAGCCAGCGTATCTGCCGCGGGTTGAGAATCGGCTGCGCTCTCAGGTACTGTAGAGATTTGTGGTCGGTTCGCACCGTCATGTCTGCTCCAGTCAGGTAGCACCTCCAGATTTTGAACGCGTGGACGATCGCCAACATCTCCTTGTCGTGTACTGGGTAGTTGCGCTCCGCAGATTGCATTTTCCGAGACTCGTACGCGATTGGTTGAAGCCCGTTGCCGAAATCCTGCATGAGCACTGCTCCGATGGCGATGTCACTTGCGTCGGTGATGAATTCGAAGGGCCTTTCCGGGTCAGCGATGCGAAGTACCGGTGGGGACATTAAAAGGTTTTTTAATGCCTCGAACACAACTTGCTGCTTCTCCCCCCACTCGTACAAAGTCCCCTTCTGTAGTAGGTCGGTTAGAGGTCCAGTTAACCCCGCCATGTTGGGTATAAACCACCGCACGTAATTCACGAAACCCAAAAATGATTGCAGCTGCTGCAAATTTGTTGGCGGTTTCCACTCCTGAATAGCCCGGAGCTTTTTCGGGTCTATTCGAATCCCCTCCGTGGAGATCACGTGCCCTAGGAACTCCATTTCTTGTTTTAAAAACTCGCACTTGGAGCCCTTGGTAATGAGACGATGCCGCTGCAACCGCTGAAAAAATACTTCCAAATCCTTCAAATGTTGCTCCCGGGTCTTGCTGTAGATTAGGATGTCGTCCAGGTAAATTATCACGCATTTGTCGAGTAGATCGCGGAATACCCCATTCATTGTGAGTTGAAATGTCGAGGAGGCATTCGTTAATCCAAACGGCATAACCGTGTATTCGTAACTCCCGTAGCGAGTACGAAACGCGGTCTTGTGGCAATCGTCAGCGAACACCCGAATTTGATGGTAACCGCCGCGAAGATCTAACTTCGAAAAATAGCGAGCTCCGCGAAGGTTGTCGATCAGTTCGTCCGTGCGTGGTATTGGGTAGCGCGACTTTATCGTTACCCGATTAAGGGCTCGATAATCCGTACACATGCGAAGGCCGCCGTCCTTTTTTGGCGTGAACAGGATTGGTGCTGCGAATGGTGATGTGCTCGGTCGAATGAACCCTTTCGCCAGCAGGTAGTCCAGCTGGTTTCGTAACTCCTGTAGCTCCGGTTGAGTCAGGCGCCATTGTGTGCGTACAGTAGGCTGCGCGCCGGGCTCCAGCTCGATTTTGTGGTCCTAGGGTCGTTCGGGTGGCAGGCCGCTTGGCAAATCGTCGGGGAAAATCTCAGGATATTCCCGAATGATTTTCGCCAAGTCATCCGGGACCGAAGCGCAGAGTTTGGTGATGACGGTCGCCTCGTTCTGCTCCGTCGATTCGGTTAGATGGACGGCGTATAAATCCGCTCCATTCTTGACCGCTCATTTGAGGCACACTGCGTTGACGCGTATCGATGTTGTCTCCGCTTCCGGCCACGTGGGTAGTTTTCGCCAGCCTTTGTTGCACTTCACTGTGCACTCGCATGTTGTCCAATCGATCTGCGGGTTGAATCGTCGTAGCCAATCGCGTCCCAATAGCACGTCGTAGCCGTCGAGCGTTGTCGCCAGCATCGGCGCGCTGAACCCAAAATCATCGCCACACTTCATTCGAACGACGGGAACTCTGTCGCGTATCATCAGCGGGGTGCCATCCACCAATCGCGCGTCGATTTCGGGCAGGCACTTCTCTAGCGTCAGGTGTAGTCGCCGTGCTGTCTCTCGATTTATCAGGCTGTGACTCGCACCTCCGTCGATGAATATTTTTATTTTCCTTCCGTTGAGTCGTCCTTCCGCCAGTACAGGGTGGTCCACTGGATCATCCCCCTTATTCAGCCGGGAGCGGTTGATAGCATGTATCGGAACCACTACTCGGTGGGGATGGTGTTTTTCGGGCGATGAGGCAGGGTCAGTAGGGGGCCCGACCGCTACTGACGCTTGGCATTTCCCGACCCGCCTTCGTCGTTATCTGCTTCTTTCGGGGGCAATCGTGAGATTGGTGACCCGGCTGGTGGCAGTTGAAACATTGTCATTTGCGAAAGTCTTCCATGTGCTCCTTCGCCACTACTCCATGAATCATGGGCCGTGGATTTTGGCCACGAAAACGATTTCCCTCCTGGGAACCCGCTCTCGCATACGTCCGATGTGCGTCGAAAGTGTCTGCGATCCGGACTGCTTTGTGAAACGTCGCCGGAAGTCGCTGTCGGACCTCGCATTTAATGTCCTGCTTCAAACCCGAAATGAATCGAGCTTTCTTCTCGGAGTCATGCATGTCGGTGATTTGATCGCATAACGCCATGAAGACCGACGCGTAATCCTGGACAGAATTCCACTGGCGCCAGTTGTCCAGCTTCGTGCGTGCGTTATCCAAGGCGGATATTGGCTCGAAGCGTTCACGCAGAGCTGTACCCCACGCCTACCACGTGCGAATCTTGGTCGATCCAAAAATCGCGATTGACCCTTGGGCAGCAGACCCAAAGTTTCCGAAAAACCCCTGTGTGTCACCTGCCGAAAACTCCCCCTCCTGTAGAGTATATCGCCACCAATCTAGCGTAGGTCCCCGCAGTAGTGATACAGCCAGTCGAATTTTTAGCTCATCAGCAGTGATCCCAGCGGCATTAAAGTAAAGTTCCGCCGAAAATAACCAGCCCGTAACAGTAGTATTCTTATCTGCGGGGTTGAACGGGGGCGGCATTGTCGGTTTGATCGTCGTTGTCGTCACGATCGGCATAATCGCCGGTGCGGCTACAGTAGCGGCTGCTTCTGACCGAGCGGCTGCTGCTGCTGCTTCGGCTGCTGCTCGTGCTGCCACGTCAGCTGCTGCGGCGGCTTCATTGTCCTTGCGCTCCTGTGGCACCTCACGTGCGATTTCGTCCAAGACGGTTTCGACACGTCCGGTGCTGGCGACCTCCTCTTGGGCGGCAGATTTCTGACGCGAATCCTCTCGCACCTGGCGTAACTCAGCAACTTCCGCACGAAGTCGCTCGTTGTCCTCGAGTACTGTAGCCATGCGCGCGTTCATGGCGTTGAACTGCTCCCGAAGCTCGTTGAACTGAGCTTGGTCCATTTGGCGAATGCTCCGCCGGGGCAGGGGGAAATCCGTAATGTGCCTGTACTCAGGTAAGCGCAAACGCTATCGTAGTTGGGCGAATTAATCAGTCTAATTCGCGAGCAACCGCTTTGCAGCTTACGTGAGGGACTTACCAAAAAAAAAAAAATAAATCAACTCACGAAAACGGGTGAGCGAGGAAAGTGGCTCGGATTACCAGGTGTTATGAATGAACAAGCAGAGTAGCGTGGAAATGAATAACGAAGTGTTCACTCAAAATGAATGACGATACAAGGAATGGCAAGCCAAGATATAGGAACACCAGAGCTAGTCTAACCATGCGATGGTGAGGTTCGGGAAAGAGATCGAAGGGTCTCGGAGGAACGAAGCGAGGCCTGGAGAACTCCCGAAGGTCGAACTAGCAGGTCTGGAGAAGCCGAGGCGGTTCTGTCAGGAGGTCTGGAACAGTCTCGAGGCTTCGGGTGTGTTTGAGCGTACGCGATAGCAGTACCGCTCGGTAAGGAATGGAAAATTCCTTACAGTTCTCGTTCATCGTAACAATTGACATGTTACCGAGCACACCGTTCGCCGAGCTGCTGAATTCGCCGAAGCTCGCGGCAATTTGTCGGCAATCTCAAGGCACCACTGGTCCCCCCACTCCTCCCCTCTCATCAGCTTGTCGCTTCATCCATGTCCCTCGGGATTGCCGTTACTTCCCACCCACCACCCTACTTTCCCCTGGCGTTCTTCTCTCCCCTTGATTCTATTCAACAGAAAGGCAAGCCCCTAGATATTAGCTGCTTTCCTTTCCCCTGCACAAGGGGTGCTTCCTCTGCTGAAGCCTATTCGCACAGGTCTAATGGTTCTAGGTTAGGCCTCATTGGAGGCTGCTTTTTCTCCGTCCTCGCAATGCGATTCATGCACCGATCGTGCTTGTAAATTTCGAAAGTGCAAGCACCCGCATTCTTCTTATCTATGTCCCTTCGGCCGATTAGTCCAGCAGGTTAGCCCAGCCGGTTATTCCAGCCTCCGTCTAGTCCAGCCGGTTAGTCTCCGATGGCTTTCCGGCAGGGCGGAGCGGGCGAGTCACGGGGGGGTCCGAGTCGCCCCGAGGGTCCGCCGCGAATAAAGGACGGCAGCTGGATATCCGCCGACGCCAGGAACCGGCCGTCCGCGTGGGCGTCGCAGGTTCGTCGGTCTTAGATCGTCACAGCCCTTTTGGGACTAGTCAGACGGCAGGTCCGCCGTCCGCCTGGCCGTCGCAGGTTTGTAAGTCGAACCCCTGACAGCCCTTTTGCGACGCGACTTAGGCTCATGCCAGGAACCCACTGTCTGCCTTGACGTCCCATGGTCGCTGCTTCCTGTTCCGACACACTCGAAAAGGCCCTCAGGATCGTCCGGTTTCAGCCTTTCACTTGATTCCCGTTGTAACTTTTGAGTCGACTCGAAAGTCAAGTTCGTTACTTGCTGTTCGCGTCACACTCGCTAGTAACGAGACTGTTCCGGATTGTTCGGTTTTAGCCTTTCACTTAATACCCGTAGAAACGATGGAGCGTCCACCACATTGCTGTATAGGTTCACTTGCTCGTTTCCCTTTAAGCGTCTCATTTCCGCGCACATTCCGCCATCTCGCCGTCCCTCTTCGGCGCGCAATGCGGCCAAGGATCCGGAGCCTCACGCTGTTCTAAAAATAAATAAATAAATAAATAAATAAATAAATAATCTAAAAAATCTATTAAAAAAAAAGACTCCACAGGACCCGGAGATTCACGCTGTTGTCATTTTGTTGATTTTTTTTTTGGTACGGAGGCAAAAAACGGACATCCTTTTTTCCAATGTCTCGTTCTGAAATTCTCCGCGCGCTTTCATTTCGTCCCGCGCGTTTCACGTTGCCGCTCATTACGCCCGTGGCCGTTCGTAATCCAATCTCCTTCTCGTCACATTATCTACTCCCTTGCGTTCCCTTCTGCTCCCCCCCCTCCTCCCTTTCGCCCACACCACCCCCCCTGCGTCAGATGAGGCGGGCGAAGCACCTGGAGCCGCGCATGTGGAAAAGAAGGCCCCTTTCTCAACTGCACCTCCGTTTCCGTCCCCTTCCTTCCCCCCCCCTCCCCTGCCGCCCCTTCCCCCCCCCTCCCTCCCTCCTCCCTGTCAGATGGGGCGCGCGAAGCGCCTGAAGCCGCGCATGTGGAAGAGCGCGTTTGACTCGGAGGGGCGTCTGGTGCGCATGCCCCAAGTGCTCAAGGCGATTTTGGAAGGGGTGAGTTGGCGGGGTGGGTGGGGAGGGGGGGGATTCAGAATGCCACAAGTGCTTAAGGCGATTCTGGAAGGGGCGAGACGGCTAGCAGCCTTGTAACGCGAATGCACACACTGCACTGAAAACAACTTTCTGCTTGAGATTCCGTCGCCTTTCCTCAGCGGGTTACTCTCCCATGCTTCCGCACCTGTTCCAGCTCCGGTTTTGCTTCAATGCATTGACATGCGTTGGCTGAAGATTCCCATACTAACCTCCATTTCCGAACTGGAAGGCCTGTTGGCTCCTCCTCTTAAATCGTTTCGCACTCACCACATCGTTTCACGTCCCTGCCTGAAGGCCTGTGCTTTGTTCGCCGCCTAACCTATCCATGGCATCATCTACGCATGCTCAATCTCTCCTCCTGCTTGCCTTGTTCTCTCAGGCGTGCAGGGCGTGGACAAGTCGATCCGGGGCGGGTGAGGTGTGGGATATCCTCCCATAGGCTGCTTCTCTAACTCGCACTCACCACCATACCTTGGGTTTCCCAATCTTGCCTGTCTGGGATGGCATGGCAGGGCGTGGACAAGTCGATCGGGGGCGGGCGAGGTGTGGGAGTTCCTCCTGGGGTGCTTCTCGTACTCGCAGCCACCACATTGCCCCACTCAATTCCTTTTCCCCGTGCCCCACTCAATCTCTTCTGCCCGTGCCCCACTCAATCCCTTCTCCCCGTGCCCCTCGCCTCTGTGTGCGCCCAGGGAGTGGACAAGTCGATCCGGGGCGAGGTATGGGAGTTCCTCCTGGGCTGCTTCTCGCTGGAGTCCACTGCGGAGGAGAGGAACTACGTGCGCGAAGCCAGGAGGTAAGTGCTTTGCTTAAGGCTAGGGGGAAAGCTAGGGGGAGGGCTTAGCGGGAAGGGGGGAGTTGTGGAACCGCCGAAGTGCTTCTCCCTGGAGTCCACCGCCGAGGAGAGGAACTACGTGCGGGAGGCCAGGAGGTGAGCTTTGCTTGAGCCTACGGGAAAGGTTAGGCGGAAAGGATAGGGGGAATGCGAGTTATGTGCCGCCAAGTGCTTCTCCCTGGAGTCCACCGCCGAGGAGAGGAACTACGTGCGGGAGGCCAGGAGGAGAGGAACTACGTGCGGGAGATGGGGGGAGCGGGAAGGGGGGAGGTGATGGGGGGAGGTACCAGCAGCTGCTGCTGCCATGCCAGCAGAGGCGTGGCAACGTGGGCTCGCACCAATCGACACCTTTCTCCCCCCTGGCACCCCCGCCCCCCTCGCACCCCCTCCCCCCTCGCACACCCTCCCCCTTCGCTCCCCCTCCCCCCTCGCACCCTCGTCCCTTTTCTCCCCCCTTCCTTGCATTGCAGGGAGCGCTACCAGCAGCAGCTGCTGCAGTGCCAGCAGATCAACAGCAACGTGGGCTCGGGCCACCTGGCCTTCACTGTTCCCGCTTCCCTCCACACTGCCCCCCTCCCTGCAGGGAGCGCTACCAGCAGCAGCTGCTGCTGCAGTGCCAGTAGATGCACGGCAACGTGGGCTCGGGCCAGGCGGTTCCCGCTCCCCCCTCCGGCTCTTCCCCCCCCTTTATGCTTCTTCCCCCCCCTTTTATGCTTCTTCCCCCCCACCCTGCTTCCCTTCCTTGCATTGCAGGGAGCGCTACCAGCAGCTGCTGCTGCAGTGTCAACAGATGCACAGAAACGTGGGCTCGGGCCACCTGGCCTTCGCTGTGGGAACCCGCATCATGGACGTGCGCATCATCCACCCTGGAAACACCCCGGGAAACTCAGGAAATACCCCCGGAAGCAGCAGCGTCAACAACCCGTCCCCTGCCACCACGTCTCCTAGCGGGGGGCAGGGGGAAGTGGCGGGCGGGGGAGAGGGGGGGCGGGAGCAGCAGCAGAAGCAACACCCCCCCTGATCGGAGCGTGCTAGGGGGAGCAGGGGCTAGGAGTTCAGCAAGTGGGGGCAGCAGTGACTTGCGCTACCCCTCAAGACAATACTCTGAGAGAGGGTCTGCTGGAAGCTCTACTCAGCTTAGGCTAGACCAGTTGATAGAGGAGGGCGGGCCTAGGCTTAGCTCCTTCTCTTCCTTCTCTTTTAGTTGTGACGTTGATGTGTTTGACCTAGATGACCCCAGGGGGCTGTTTGTGCGGCCGGGGGGGGAGGAGGAGGACGAGGAGGATTTGGAGGAGGAAGGGGAGGAGGGGGACGGGGAGGGTGAGGGGCAGGAGGGGGTGAGGGATACTGACGAGGAGGAAGAGGAGGAGGAGGAGGGGGGAGAGCGGGGAGAGGGGGAGGGACGGCGAGGGGGTGGCGGAGAGAAGGGGGAGGGCGTGGAGGGGGAGATAGGGGTTAGGGATAGTCCAAGGGGAAAGAGAGCTGTTAAAGACGAAGGGGTGGGGGAGAGGGAGGCGAGGGAGAGGAGAAGGGCCGAAAGCAGACGACGGAGCGAGGAGCATCAGAGGAAGGCTGGGGGGGGCGCAGCTGAGGTGGGTAAGGGGAGCAAGGGCGGAGGGGAGGGGGGCAGGGGGGGCGCAAGCAGAGCCAGGGGAGGGGATGGAAGAAATGAGGGCGAAATGGGCGCGGGAGAGGCAGAGGCGGGTGGACAAGCTTGATAAGCTGAGAGCACAGGACGCCATGCCAGGGGGGGCGGGGCAGGGGGGCAGGGGGAGCAGGAGGGGAAGCGCAGGGGTAGCGGGGGGAGGTACAGTGAGCAGCGGAGCAGCTGCAGGGGGAGCGGCGCCTGGGGTTAGTGCGGCTGAAGGGGGGACGGCAGGAGGAATAGCAGCAGCGGGTGTTGCAGCAGCCGCAGTAGCAGCCGCAGCGGCAGCAGCAGGGGCAGGGGGAGCAGGGGCAGGGGCAGGGGCAGGGGCACATGGGGGAGAAGAAGCGTTTCCAGGGGCGGAGGTTGCTACCTCTGGGGCAGGCGGGCAGGAATCAGGAAGAAGGCTGGGGGATGGGGAGAGGGGAAGGAGGCGAGTGGGGAGGGCGCGAGGAACAGGAGGAGGGCGGAGGCTCGGAGTTTCTCTCGGTCGATGAGTGCGCAGCCAGAGAGGGGGGCGCGGAGGGAGAGGAGGGACGGGGGGAGGGAGAAGAGAGCAGAGAGGCAGGCCGGGGGTGGGGCGGGGAGGGACTCATGGAGGGGTGGAGAGAGAGTGAGGGCGGCGTGAGGGGAGGGGATGGCGGAGGGGGGTATGAGTTGTACGGGAGAGGTGGGGGGCTGCTGGGGGAGTTGGCGTTGGGGGAAGACGCGGGGGAGGGCAGTGGGGTGGAGGAGGGGGGGGATCACGAGGGGGGGAGAAGCGGAAGCAGCAGAAGGTGCGGTGGACGAGGCTGCTGCAGGGAGTGGTGAAGGACATCAAGAAGAAGGAGAGCAAGTCAGTGCTGCTCGCCTCTAGCTCCTCTGTAGATAGCCCTACCGGTGCTTCCGGCCCTTCTGGCCCTTTAGGACTTTCAAGCTCGTCCTCCCACCCGTCCTCGTCCACTGCCCTCTACCACCGGCCACAGGACCACCACCGGTACTCAGACTCCCATAAGGCTCTGGATGTGCCACTTGCGAAGAGCTTCAGTAGCAGTTTGCCTGCAACAGGGGGGGATGGGGAAGCTGGCTCGCCCATGTATGCAGGAGCCGGGGCGGACAGGTGGCATGCTGTGAGTGATGGGGGGGTGGGTGGCGGAGGTGGGGTGACGGGGCAGGGAGGGGAAGGAGGGGAGCGGGGGGAGGAGGAGGGGGTGGAGGAGGGGTTAGGGGAGGGAGTGAGTGCGTGGGAGGGGAGGGAGGGTGGAGTGGGAGGAGGGGTGGATGGGGGAGTGGGGGGAGGAGGCTGGGGAAAGAGGGGCGGCCACCAGCGGGGGATTTTGGGGGAGTGGGTGTGGCGCAAGGGGTGGGGGCGGCGCAGGGGGCGCACAGGGGAGCGGGGGAAGGGGGAGCGGGCGCGGCGTGGGTGAGGGGGATGAAAAAGGCGCATAAGAAGCTGATTGGGTACCTGGGCGCGTCAGATAGCTTCGGGGGAGGGGGAGGGGGAGGGGGAGGGGGAGGTGGAGGGGGAGGAGTGGGGGCAGGGGGAGGGGGACAGGGAGACGGGGGAGGGGGGGGAGTGTTGGCTGGAGGGAAGATTGGGGGAAAGCTTGTGGGAGAGGGGCATGAGGGGGGAGGGATAGGAGGCGGAGGGGGAGGAGGAGTGGGGGGAGGGGGAGGGAGGGTAGGCACAAGGAGAAGGCTGCGGAAGGTGCTGAGTGCGGATTGGGGGAGCACGTCACTGGACGAGCTGCTGGGCGGCAAGGGCTTGGCTGCTAGCGCCAGCACCAACCTCCCTGCTTCGACCACCCACCCAACCCCTCCCCCTGGGCCTTTCCCTGCTGGGCACGCTGCTGGTTTAACCGGTTCCGGTGCTTCTGGCCCTGCCTCTTCTTCTGCCCGTTCGCACGCCTCCACTCCCCCCCTCAGCACCTCATCTGCAGCTGCATCCCCCTCCCCCTCCTCCGCCCTCCTCCCGCCCTCCTCCTCCCTCCTCACCCACCGGCCCGACAGCGCTGGCTCCTCGTCCTCCTCTCGTCGCTCCCGTAGTGCTGGGATGACTCTCGTTGACTTCGCGGGAATCACAGTTACGGCCCCTTCGCCCGTTGCGAGCTCTGTGGAGGCAGTAGAGCCGTTAGGGAGGGTTGGTAGTGGCCGGTTGCAGGGGCAGGAGGGGAGGGAGAGTGGGCTGGGGAGTAGGGAGAGGCGGAGCTTTGGGGGAGGCGGGGATATTGTGGAGGAGAGGGAGAGGGAGGGGGGGGGTGATGTGCTGGATGTGCTTCAGACACGTAGTGTTTTGGGTGGTGGTAGTGCTGCTGCTGCTGCTGCTGCTGCTGCTGCTGCCGCTGCTGCTGCTGCTGCTACTGTTGACGACGATGATACTGGTGACGGTGGGAGCACTGGCGATGCTGACCCTGCCCCTGTGGCTGCTGGGTGTGCCATCACCCGCAGCGTGGGGGGGAGGGCGGCACCAGGGGAGGCGTCACTGCGCGTGTGGTACAGTGGAGGCGAGGGGCGGGCGGAGGGGAGAGGGGAGGAGAGGGCGGAGAGACGGAGGGAGGGAAGAGGGGCGGACAGGACAGCCGAGGGGGCAGCTAGGCTGGAAGGTGTAAGAGAGGGGAGGATGGGGGAAGAGAGAGGAACAGGGGCAGCAGCAGTGCCATCTCCATCAACAGCTGCTGCTGCTGCAGGTTTTATGGGGGCAGCAGGAGCAGCAGGAATGGCAGTAGGAGTGGAGTTAGATACAGGAGCAGCGGTGGGGGGGGCACAAGAGGAGGTTGAGGGTCCGAGCACGCCGAGAGGCATGGGAGAGAGTAGAGCAGCAGGCCGAACAGGGGAAGGCAGAGGAGGAGGGGAGTCTGGGGGTCCAGATGGGGAGGAGAGCGGTGGGGATGGGAAGGGAAGCATGGAGCGAGGAACAGGAGGAGAAGGAGGGGGAGCAGGGAAAGGATTGGAAGGGAGTGCAGGTGGAGGCATGAACACGAGCACGAGCATTGGTGGCATCAGCGGCAGCAGCAGCCAGGCGGCGGATCAGAGGCAGAGCATTCTGCAGGCGTACATGCAGAGGAAGAGCTTCAATGGGAAGAACCCCACTGCTGAGCAGGTGTGGGCGTGGATCCTCGGGCATGATGACGAGGATGAGGGGGAAGGGGGGGGTGAGGGGGGGAGAGAGGGGAAGGGAGGGGAGGGGGAGGAGGAGCCGGGAGTGAGAAGGGGAGTGGAGGGAGTGGGGGGAGCAGCGGAGGGGTGGAGAAGGATGAGACGGAGGGTGGAGGAGAGGGTGCGGGGGAGAGAGAAGAGGGGAAGAGAGGCGGGGGGTAGAGGGAGGGGAGGGAGGAGAGGTAGGGGAGGGAGTGGAGGGAAGTGAGAAGGAGGAGGGTGGCGAGGGGGGGGGAGGGCAGAAGGCGCAGTTGACGGTGGATCCCGTGGTGGCGGACCGGCTGGGAGTGACGGTGGAACGCATTGCTGACTGGCTCTGGACGCTGCACAAAATATGTGAGTCAGGTGGCATGGTAACAAGGTGGCATGGTAACAAGGTGGCATGGTAACAACGTGGCATGGTAACAAGGTGGCATGGTAACAAGGTGGCATGGTAACAGGGTGGCATGGTAACAACGTGGCATGGTAACAACGTGGCATGGTAACAAGGTGGCATGGTAACAAGGTGGCATGGTAACAAGGTGGCATGGTAACAACGTGGCATGGTAACAAGGTGGCATGGTAACAAGGTGGCATGGTAACAAGGTGGCATGGTAACAAGGTGGCATGGTAACAACGTGGCATGGTAACAACGTGGCATGGTAACAACGTGGCATGGTAACAACGTGGCATGGTAACGAGGTGGCATGGTAACAACGTGGCATGGTAACAACGTGGCATGGTAACGAGGTGGCATGGTAACGAGGTGGCATGGTAACGAGGTGGCATGGTAACGAACGAGGTGCCTTTTGATTCGACTCAACAGTCACTCAGAAGGCGCAGTTGACAGTGGATCCGGTGGTGGCGGACCGGCTGGGAGTCACAGTGGAGCGCATTGCCGACTGGCTCTGGATGCTCCACAAGATATGTGAGTCAGGTGGCATGGTAACGAGGTGACTTTTGACCCTCCAGAGGATTTGTGTTGTGAGCCCTGTCTGGACCTTCCACAGAAATCGTTAGCACCAAGGCCCACTGTGGCCCTTTCTGTCTGGCTGCTTCCGCTCCGCGTCCGCGTCCTGGATTTTGCAGGGTGTTCTTGAGAATTTTAATAAACGCTCCGCGCCCTGCGTCATTCCACAGCCATCTCCTGGGCCACCTGGCTGACGGACTGCGACCCCGCTCTCCTTGTCCCACCCTCCCTGCATGCAGCGGTGGATGTGGAGCGCACGGACCGCCACGTGGCGTTCTACCAGGCCGAGAGGAACCAATCCACATTGCCTTCCCGCACCCCTTCCCCCTTCACTTCTCACACCCTCTCTCCGTTACCCCTCATCTTTCCCCTCCCCCCCAAACCCCCCCCCACCCCTTCCCCCTGTGCTCCCTGCATGCAGCGGTGGATGTGGAGTGCACGGACCGCCACATGGCGTTCTACCAGGCGGAGAGGAACTGCGCCACCATATGCGACATCCCCTCTCCCCCCTTTCCTCTCCCCTCTCCCCTCTCTCCTCTCCCCTCTCTCCTCTCCCCTCTCACCACCCCCTTGCCTGCAGCCGTGGACGTGGAGCGCACGGATCGCCACATGGCGTTCTACCAGGCAGAGAGGAACCGAGCCACCATGTGCGACATCCTGGCCGTGCATGCGTGGATCGACCCCGCCACCGGCTTCTGCCAAGGTGAGTTGCTGTGGCAGTCAGGGAGGCATTATGTACAACAGCCTGCCACCATGTGCGACATCCTGGCCGTGCATGCGTGGATCGACCCCGCCACCGGCTTCTGCCAAGGTGAGTTGCTGTGGCAGTCAGGGAGGCATTATGTACGACAGCCTGCCACCATGTGCGACATCCTGGCCGTGCATGCGTGGATCGACCCCGCCACCGGCTTCTGCCAAGGTGAGGCGTGCTGCCATGACAATAGCCCATCGTAAGTTGCCGAGGCACAATTAGGGAGGTAGGTCGTACCAGGCTGAGAGTAATTGAGCCACTATGTGCGATATTCTCGCAGTGCATGTGTGGATCGACCCCGCTACCGGCTTCTGCCTAAGTGGGCTTAGCTTGTGAAGGCACCGCAAAACGCTTTTTTTTGGGGAGACCCGAGGTCTTTGAGGCACTTCTGAGCAGCTAGCTACTCACACTTATCTCAGGGGTGTCATTTCTGGGATTACCAACTCTCAGGCCACATTGGTGCGGGTCTGCAGTCTTTTCCACTTGCTCAAACCTACTCCCTCGCACTGCTGCTAGCAGGCACAATGCCTGAGAAGCATTTCTGGGATTACCTACTCTCGGGCCACATTGCTGCGGGTCTGTATGGCAGGGATGTGTAACATCCTCTCGCCCTTCATCATGCTCTATGGCCACGGTGTTGAGGTCTAAGACGTCTTAATACTGCCTTGGTATACGTTTCAATGCTCTCGCCCTTCATCATGCTCTCCTTCCCCTCCTCACTACTGCCTTCCTCCCCCCTCCCTTCTCCCCCCACCCCTCTCCCCCTCCCCCCTATGCCAGGCATGTGCGACATCCTCTCGCCTTTCATCATGCTCTACGGCCACCCTGCTGACGCCTTCTGGTGCTTCGAATGCCTCTTCTCGCGCATTGTAATTCGCACCATCCACCCCCATGCTTGCCTGGCCTGTCCTCTGTTGCATCGTGGGTTGGTGATTTCGTTTTGCTTCCTCTGTTGCACAGCCATTGGAAAGGGAACCCTGTGTTCTCTTCTCTTGCCCTGGTCTCTCGTCCTGCACTGTAAGCCATTTCAATCAACCCCATAAGTACTTGCCATCTCCTCCCGCCCTTCGTGTTATCTCCCCAGCTCCCCCTTCCTCTCCTCTCCCCTCCGCAGCGCCACAACTTCCTGCCGGAGGGTCCTGTGGGCGTCCTGCGCCAGCTAGCAGTGCTAAGGGGCGTGGTGGCGCTGGTAGACCCCGAGCTGACACGTTCTGCGGTGCTTGCACTCTCCTCTCCCTCCCCCTCCGCAGCGCCACAACTTCGTGCTGGAGGGTTCTGTCCTGTGGGCATCCTGCGCCAGCTAGCAGTGCTAAGGGACGTGGTGGCGCTGGTAGACCCCCAGCTGGCGGCGCACCTGGAGGAGCTTTGCACAGACAATTTCATGTTCGCCTTCCAATCCCTCTCCCCTCCTCGCCCTCCCTCCCTCCCCTCCGCAGCGCCACAACTTCGTGATAGAGGGTCCTGTTGGCATCTTACGCCAGCTAGCGGTATTGCGGGACGTGGTGGCACTGGTAGACCCCGAGCTGGCGGCGCATCTGGAGGAGCTGGGGGCGGACAACTTCATGTTCGCCTTCCGCATGCTGCTCGTGCTGTTCCGGAGAGAGCTGCCCTTAGTGGACGTGATCGTGATGTGGGAGGTACGTTGGGGTTAGAGGGGAGGTGCGTTACAGTACAGAGGAGGTTATCGGGTTAAGGTGGGTAGTCACCTGGGGGAGCTTGGCACGGACAACTGCAAGTTTGCCTTCCGCATGCTGCGCATGCTGTTCTGGAGGGAGCTGCCCTTAGTGGACGTGATTGTCATGTGGGAGGTGCATCACAGGGGAGCTGGGTTACAGGGGAGCTGGGTTACAGGGGAGCTGGGTTACATGGGAGCTGGGTTACAGGGGAGCTGAGTTACAGGGGAGCTGGGTTACAGGGGAGCTGGGTTACAGGGGAGCTGGGTTACAGGGGAGCTGGGTTACAGGGGAGCTGGGTTACAGGGGAGCTGGGTTACAGGGGAGCTGGGTTACAGAGGATCTGGGTTACAGGGGAGCTGGAATGTGGGGATTGTGCTCACCTGGAGGAGCTGGGAGAGGGCAACTTCATGTTTGCAGTCCGCGTGCTGCTCGTGCTGTTCCGGAGGGAGCTGCCCCTGGTGGATGTGATTGTCATGTGGGAGGTGGGCTACGGTTACAGGGGAGGTTGGCTACAGTTACAGGGGAGGTGGGCTACGGTTACAGGGGAGGTTGGCTACAGTTACAAGGGAGGTGGGCTACGGTTACAGGGGAGGTGGGCTACGGTTACAGGGGAGGTGGGCTACGGTTACAGGGGAGGTGGGCTACGGTTACAGGGGAGGTGGGCTACGGTTACAGGGGAGGTGGGCTACGGTTACAGGGAAGGTGCGTTACAGTACAGAGGAGGTTATTGGGTTAAGGTGGGTAGTGACCTGGAGGAGCTTGGCACACAGACAACTTCAAGTTCGCCTTCCACATGCTGCTCGTGCTCTTCCGGAGGGAGCTGCCCTTAGTGGACGCCATTGTCATGTGGGAGGTGCGTTATGGTGGGTAGTCAAGGCACCTGGAGGAGCTGGTAGGGGCAGTGACATCTTCATGCTTGCCTTCCGAGTTCTGCTCGTGCTGTTCCTGAAAGAGCGGCTGATTGTGGACTCTTCTCCCCTACCCCCCCTCCCTTCACTCCAGATGATGTGGGCAGCGGACTTTGACTCTAGAATGGCATCCGTCCTCCTGCACCACCCCCCCGAGGGCCTCAACCTCGTAGCCGAGCCGCACACCTGGTCAACCGGCCCCCTCCCCCCCCTCGACTCCCCCACCAACGACGCCGCCACCACCCCAGTCCCCTTCTCCACAGCCTCACTCCCCAACCAGGGCTCGGGGTCCTCCCTGGGGGGGTTCGATGTGATGGGTCTGGGGGGGGGCAGGCGGGGGGGGATATGGCGGTCGGGGCAGCTGACTGCACAGGATGTGGAGGGGGGAGCGAGTCTGATGTCGCAGTGGGGGGAGGCAAGGGTGGGGGATGAGGACCTGGCGGTGTTCTGTGTGGCGGCGATTCTGCGGGTGAACAGGAAGAGGCTGCTGCTGGTGGAAGGGTCGGACGAAGCTATCAAGGTAGGGTGCTGTCAGGTCTAGGGTTCTTTTCTCTGGGCCGTTAAAGGGCGGGGGATGCGGACCTGGTGGTGTTTTGTGTGGCGGCGATTCTAAGGGCGAACCGGAAGAGGCTGCTGCTGGTAGAAGGGCCGGAGGAGGCTATCAAGGTAAAGCACTGCCAGGTTTAGGGTTCTTTGAGTGGACCATCTAAAGGTGGGGGACGAGGACCTGGGGGTGTTTTGTGTGGCGGCGATTCTAAGGGCGAACCGGAAGAGGCTGCTGCTGGTGGAAGGGTCGGAGGAGGCTATCAAGGTAAAGCACTGCCAGGTTTAGGGTTCTTTGAGTGGACCATCTAAAGGTGGGGGATGAGGACCTGGGGGTGTTTTGTGTGGCGGCGATTCTAAGGGCGAACTGGAAGAGGCTGCTGCTGGTGGAAGGGTCGGAGGAGGCTATCAAGGTAAAGCACTGCCAGGTTTAGGGTTCTTTGAGTGGACCATCTAAAGGTGGGGGATGAGGACCTGGTGGTGTTTTGTGTGGCGGCGATTCTAAGGGTGAACCGGAAGAGGCTGCTGCTGGTGGAAGGGTCGGAGGAGGCTATCAAGGTAAAGCACTGCCAGGTTTAGGGTTCTTTGAGTGGACCATCTAAAGGTGGGGGATGAGGACCTGGGGGTGTTTTGTGTGGCGGCGATTCTAAGGGCGAACATGAAGAGGCTGCTGCTGGTGGAAGGGTTGGACGAAGCTATCAAGGTAAAGTACTTTCAGGTTTAGGGTTTTCTTCCAGGATGCACTGCCCCTCTCCCACCTCCTACCTCCCACCTCCCACCTCCCACCTCCCACCTCCCACCTCCCACCTCCCACCTCCCACCTCCCACCTCCCACCTCCCACCTCCCACCTCCCACCTCCTACCTCCCACCTCCCACCTCCCACCTCCCACCTCCCACCTCCCACCTCCTACCTCCCACCTACCACCTCCCACCTCCCACCTCCCACCTCCCACCTCCCACCTCCCACCTCCCACCTCCCACCTCCCACCTCCCACCTCCCACCTCCCACCTCCCACCTCCCACCTCCCACCTCCCACCTCCCACCTCCCACCTCCCACCTCCCACCTCCCACCTCCCACATTGTCCCTTCTATGCCCCTCCCCTCCCCTCAGATGTTCAACGATGCGGAGCTGGTGCTGGACGTGCTTTCCTGCACCCATCTCTCTACCAACATGCACTGCCCCTCCCCCACCTCTCACATTGCCTCCGTCTCCCTCCTACTCGCCTCTCCCCTCCCCTCAGATGTTCAACCATGTGGAGCTGGTGCTGGACTTGCTGTCCTGCACCCATCTGCGCTGCTCTCTACACCTTGCACCGGTGTTTCCATCACCATCTGCCCCTCCCAACGACCCCTCAACCCCTCAGATGTTCAACGATGTGGAGCTGGTGCTGGACGTGGTGTCCTGCATCCATCTGGCCATCAAGCTGCGCACGAAATACTTCAGAAAGGTGCGCATTGAGAGGATGAGACGCTTTAAAGTTGCACTCGACACCCCTCTTTAGACAGAGATTTTCTCAAGATGCCCTGCATCCATCTCGCCATCAAGCTGCGCACCAACTTGAACCATGTTCTGAACAAAGGCCTCGCTCCTTGACTCGCAACCTGATGCTCTTGCAGGCTCACACTCATGTTTCCCCCACTTGCACCCTTTCCTGCTCCCTCAACCTGTCCTCACTCTTGTCCCTCCCTCCGTTGGACTCCACGTTCGTCCAGGCTCCTCGCGGCATTAGGGCCCGATAGCACACGCCAGGTATAGGGGATTGCGCCACGAGCATGGATGCTTCTGGGCCAATAATATCTCCCGCAAGGGGACCATTTGGTTGCACGCTGTCAGCCATCAGGCAGTGCTCCCATGTAGTATTGAATCAATCAGAGCATTTGTATTTTGAAAGCAACCATGTGATCTTACAGAATGAAGTTGAGACCACTCAGGTTTTAATTCATGCGTTGGAGATGTATTTGAGGGCTTTTCTTGTATAAAATAGGCCAAAATAGGCTTCTTAATCCCCAACTATATGCATGAAATTGGTACACTTGAACCAGCTCAATCACGTACGGCAGTCGCGGTAACATTTTTAAGACTGTCGTAGACGGATGTAACCATCTCTAGTGGGTCGCATGGTTTTCGTCATGCCCGCCACATGGCACCTAGTCACTCCCTGGACTGCACCGAATTTTCAGCTTGCCGTCCGATCAATGATGGACGGTCATCGGCCCTGGCGGCGATTGACGTATTAGCGGGGCACCTAATACGGAGTGCCGACATATTTTCCAAATTACTTTCCCTGCACCGGGTGTCCTCCGACCTTGGGAACGCCATCTCAGATTTTACCTCCTATGACTCTGCTATGTGTCAGATTATGTGATTGACAAGCCAGCAGTCCTACTACTCTCTGCCAGTTACCCAATTCCAGCTTATCATAGACGCGTCGTGAGCAGGCAGCCATGCACGAGCTCTATCATAAGCATGCGTGCCAAGTGGCCGACCCAGTGGCACGCACGCTCCACTGCTATGGCATCAAATTTTTTAGTCGCCTCAAAAATAGGCTCCACTGCTATGGCATCATCAGATGGCCTCAGAGAGCATCAGATGGTCTCGTTTCACTTTCACCTTCTCTCCCTTCTTCGCAGATCGATTCCAGGTGCACACGCGCCGAGTCTATTTTTGACGCGCCTAAAAAATACGCGCCCGATGTCGCCGTGGTGCCTCTCCACTCGAGAATGCTCAGCCGCGTTCCCACTCATTCAATTCGGTGTAATTCGGTGGCGCTCGGTTCGGCTGAATTCACCTAGAAACCTCTCGGTTAGTCTCGGTCGCTCGGTTGGCGGAACAGACTCATCCACCCGATCGTATCGCGGTGGTCCCGAATCGCTCATCGCGCCCGTAGACATTCTTCTGGAGCGCGCGTGTCACATTATCATCCCATTACCAAAGCAAACGTTGTTATTCAATCCGCCTCCTACCGCTCGCATCTCTCCTCGAATTCAGTGTGCTCAAGCGGAGTGCCTCCATCCCGCAATCGCCGGTTCTCGGATCGTGGAGTGATCCCTAATCGATTGGATCGGAGTGACTCCATACGCGGACGATAAAATCGAAGTCTCTAGAACGGGCGCAAGGCGAGCGACGCATTGAGACGCTTCTTCCTGGATCTCACAGCCCGGCTGATCGAGGTGACAGAATCGAGGTGACAGAATCGGATCTCGGCCCAGTCCTCATGGCTTCCTCGCTCGCCGCATCGCCGCCCTTTCCGCCGCTCTTGGCGGCCATGGCGTCACCAGCTCGTGCTGCTACGCGCACACCTGCTACAGCGTCACCAGCTCGTGCTCTTTGGCGCACATCCCCTACAGTCACACCCATGGGGGCCGCAACGCGCACCTGTTACCGTCACGGCGCTTCCAGCACTGGCCGCATCGAGCCGCGCCGCGGCGCTTCGAGCTCTCTGCGAACTACCCAGCGCCTTCCGAAGCAACTCCCCCTGCTCCCCCCGCTAGCCGCTAGGCCGCGCACTCGAGTGGCGGCGGAAAGAAGAAGCAGCAGTGGTGCCGATGGGTCCAGCGGTGGCGATGGGTCCACCCACCCTCCTCCGGAGCGTGCTGATGCTCGCAAGGAGGCGAGGTTGCAACGTGCCACTGTTTCAGGTACCCCCGCGGGCACGCGTGGGTCGTCCAAGACAGTCGCAGAGGAGGCGCGGGGGTACCTGGAAAAGGCGGAGGAGGATTTTATTCAGGTGATTTACAGGAGTCTCGTATCCGTGTTGTTCTTGCAAGCCTATTTCTCCGCCCGTCCCTATGTCCATGTCCTGCCTCAGTTGGTCCCTGCCTCAGTTGGTCCCTGCCTCAGTTGGTCCCTGCCTCAGTTGGTCCCTGCCTCAATGGGTCCCTGCCTCAATGGGTCCCTGCCTGGACCTGGCCTGGGCGCACACTTGTGACCAGGTCCAGCACTCCTTCGTTCTAAGTGTCTTTTTAGAATTCTAAAAAAACGCCCACAAGTTGAGGGACTTCAACAACCTCGGTTTGTGACTGCTTGGCCTGGGCGCACACTTATGACCAGGTGCAGCGCTCCTTCGTTCTAAGTTCACACAGCATGTTCATGAACGAGAGGGGGACCATCCCTCTGCGCTGCCTCACCCCCCCCCTCCCCCAACTCTCCCCATGCATGTGCCCATCAGTTCACGCAGCACCTGGGCCGAGCGCTCGTCGTAACCACCATCCCTGGGGTCGCCTTGGAGACTCTTCGCGAGCTCTCAGGTGGGATACCATGTGTCTTGAGGCGAGTTGGAACTTTGTAAGATACCCTGCCAGCTACATGGAGCCCCATGCTCGTTGCGAGCGCTCGTCATTGTAACCACCATCTCTGGCGTCGCCTTGGAGACCCTTCACGAGCTCTCAGGTGGGATTCCCTGCGGTAGGGGCGTCAAAGCTGGGCAAGGTACCCTGTGAGTGGTCAACCTCACGGAGCCCCATGCTCGTTGCGAGCGCTCGTCATTATCACCACCATCCCTGGCGTCGCCTTGGAGACCCTTCGCGAGCTCTCAGGTGAGATTCCCTGCGGTAGGGGCGTCAAAGCTGGGCAAGGTACCCTGTGAGTGGTCAACCTCATGGAGCCCCATGCTCGTTGCGAGCGCTCGTCATTATCACCACCATCCCTGGCGTCGCCTTGGAGACCCTTCGCGAGCTCTCAGGTGGGATTCTCTGCGGTAGGGGCGTCAAAGCTGGGCAAGGTACCCTGTGAGTGGTCAACCTCATGGAGCCCCATGCTCGTTGCGAGCGCTCGTCATTATCACCACCATCCCTGGCGTCGCCTTGGAGACCCTTCACGAGCTCTCAGGTAGAGTATCGTGCGAGTCGTGTTTAGCTCTCAGAGTATTGTGCGAGTCGTGTTTAGCTCTCAGAGTATTGTGCGAGTCGTGTTTAGCTCTCAGGTAGAGTATTGTGCGAGTCGCATTCAGCTCTCAGGGGACATGAGCGCCGTTTCCCATTTGAGTGTTGAGAAGCATATTATTGATTGATAAGGCATCGTCTGGTCCCTTTTTAATGCTCCCGCCAGGCTCGAGGGTGCAAGGGTGGGACGTGGTGTGGTTCTGCTGGGCGGCAGGGCTTGTCCTGGGGTGCATGGTGGGGGTGGGCGAGGTCATGCAGAAGCACCAGAGACGGCGCGCTGCCGCCCGGCTGCCGCCCAGGAGAGTCGTCCTGACTGGGGGGTCCAGGGGCCTGGGCAAGGCTCTGGCCCGCGAGTTCCTATTGGCTGGTGATGACGTGCTGCTGACGTCAAGGAGGTGAGGGACACCATACTGGCATACTGCTCCCGATGGCATACTGCTCACCGTTCCACCGACTTTCCTTCTGTCCTCTCTTTTGCTGTCATTGCGAAACTACTTACACGCTCTATCCGGAACGGGCGTGTGCTCTCCTGTCCCTTCTTCACCCCAAGTCTCAAACAGCCTCACCCCACCCCCACCCCCACCCCCACCCCCACCCCCACCCCCACCCCCACGCCCACCCCCCGTGTCCCTTTGCATTTGCCATCCCCCAGTGAGGCGGGTGTCGAGGAGGCTCTGAGAGCGCTGCAGGAGGACACGTGGCACATCACAGGGCGTGCGCCCCTGGCTGTGCTGGTGAAGAAGAGGCGCGCTGAGCCAGGGTCAACAGAGTCAACGCAGTCAAGCAGGTAGGCACTTATGGAGAGCACTGCAGTGCAGACACGCGGCACATCATGGGCCGTGCACCGCTGGCTGTGCTGGTGCAGAGAGGGCGTGCTGAGCCAGGGTGCAACCAGGCAGGGTCAATGGAGTCAACGGAGTCAACCAAGCGGGCAGTGAGGGGACAACACTGCAGACACGTGGCACATCACAGGGCGTGCACCCTTGGCTGCGCTGGTGAAGAGGGGGCGTGCTGACCTAGGGTCAATGGAGTCAACCAAGTTGGCTGAGAGTCATGGGACGTGTACCGCTGGCTGCGCTGGTCGAGAGGGGGCGTGCTGAGCCAGGGTCAATGCAGTCTATGCAGTCAACCAGGTAGGTTCACTCATGACTTGCTGCCGTGTTGGGATGCCTAGCGATGCCATGCTGTTCCGTTCTATGTCATGCACCATGCCACTTGACAAGTTGTGTGATGCTGGGGTGATACCATCCCATGCCATGCCTGCTTTCCTGCATGTCCCATGCACATCACTCTAAGCAGGGAGGTCTGGGACCTGGTGCAGTCGCATGAGGAAAAACGCCAGGAGCAACGGCCCAATGAGCAGTGCTATCAAGAGTTGTCTGGGCGGCGGCAGAGAGTGGTTGGGGTGGCATGTGATGTGCGGTTGGCAAGGGATGTCCAGATGCTTGCTGATGTGGCACGGAAGGAGCTGGGACGAGTTGACATCTGGGTAAGCAACGCATTGTCCAACCCGATAGCCAAGTCCCTTTTCTACTTGTGTTAGACTCCTGCTGACTCCCATTGACTTGTGTTGACCCACCTCTGTGTCTACTGCAGGTGAACAACGCGGGCACCAACCCCATGGCAAAGCCCTTCGTTGACTTTGAAGACCATGAGCTAGAGCAGGTGAGCCCTGTGATTGGGGGAGGGGGAGGGGAGGGAGGGGGGGGGAGAGGGAGGGGGGGAGGAATTGTAGGTGTTGATTTATCAATGATGAATGCATAGGTGATTTTTGAGTCGACTCAAAAATGCGCCCAGCCAGCCACCTCATGGCAAAGCCCTTGGTTGGCTTTCAACACCACGAGCTAAAGCAGGTTCTGTCAACCAACCTCCTGGGGTCGCTCCTGTGCACACGCGCTGCCATGCGCCTGATGCAGCAGCAGCCGTCCTTACCTGCCCACATGGCTGGCCACGTCTGCAACCCCTATGTCTCCTCCTCCCCACTCTCTTTCTTCCTAACCCCTCAGGTGGTCTCGACCAACCTCCTGGGGTTGCTCCTGTGCACACACGCTGCCATGCACCTGATGCAGCAGCAGCCATGCCCCCCAGGCTGTACAGCCGGCCATGTGTTCAACTTGGAAGGGGCGGGCTCGTGGGGAGGCGCCACCCCGCAGTATGCTGCGTACAGTGTGCTCCAGACTTCACTCTCGTCCTCACCCACCCTCTCGCATTTCCCTCACACCCTCAGGTGGTCTCAACCAACCTCCTGGGGTCGCTCCTGTGCACACGCGCTGCCATGCGCCTGATACAGCAGCAGCCATGCCCTCCAGGCTGCATAGCCGGCCATGTGTTCAACTTGGAAGGGGCGGGCTCGTGGGGAGGCGCCACCCCACAGTATGCTGCTTATGGTGCGACCAAGTGCGCTCTGCGACAGCTGGGGGCGTCTCTGGTGGAGGAGGGGAGGGAGAAGGGGAGGGAGGAGGGGAGGGAAACGGGGAGGGAGGAGGGGAGGGAGGTGGGGAGGGAGGAGGGGAGGGAAACGGGGAGGGAGGAGGGGAGGGAGGTGGGGAGGGAGGGTGGAGAGGTGGGGAAGGGAGGGGTGAGGGGAGGAAGGGTGGGCATTCACGCGGCTTCGCCAGGGCTGGTGCTGACGGATCTGCTGCTGAGTGGGGCGACGGTGGCCAACAAGCAGGCGTTCAACATCGTGGGGGAGCACCCGGAGACGGTTGCCCGAGTGCTGGTGCCCCAGGTGAGGCTGGGAAAGGGAAGGGTGCGGAGGGGAAGGGTGGGCATTCACGCGGCTTCGCCAGGGCTGGTGCTGACGGATCTGCTGCTGAGTGGAGCAACGGTGGCCAGCAAGCAGGCTTCAGCGTCGTGGGGGAGCACCCGGAGACTGTTGCCCGTGTGCTGGTGCCTCAGGTGACGCTCTAAATGATGCCTTGGGTGCTGATCGGGGGTGCAGATGTCTTCGTTGTTTACTCGTGTGTTGCATCAGGTGGTGTGTCAGGTGTGTCAGGTGTGTCAGGTGCTGGCTCAGTTTCTGCCACGTGTTGCTTTCTTGGGTGCTGAGGTGATGAATGAGCTCTGATGAATGTATTTCCCATGATTGTGCATGCCCATCGGTGGCTTCTCCCAATATCAGATGCGCACTGTAAAGGGTACGGGCTCCACAGTCAGTTACCTCACACCACCACGCATTGTCCTGGCGATTCTGTCGGCATGGCTGCGCAGAGGCCGATGGTTCGATGCACAGGTGAGGAGAAGGGGGAGCTAGGTTCCATTCGTGCTTCTGTATAGCTTGCATTGGTGCTCCACAGTCAGCTACCTCACACCACCGCGCATAGCCCTGCCGATCCTGTCGGCGTGGGTGCGTAGAGGCTGATGGTTCGATGCACAGGTGAGGAGAAAGAGACATGATGAATTTCAGGGGCTTATTGAGTATTCTGAAGTTGCCTCAAAAGTTGTCCATGGCGTGATTGGTGTCTCTTGCTCCACACTTGTTTTCCTCTGCTTGCGTGAGCAGTCTATTTTTGAGGCGCCTCAAAAATAGACTCCTCACGCATGGATTTTTTTTTAGGCGCCCTCAAAAGTATGTTTTCCTCTGCTTGCCGTTGCTGTGAGCAGGGTCAGGCGGTGTATGCCACTGAGGCGCAGAGGCTGCGATCGTGGGCGGAAGGCAGGGATAAATCACCCGTGGGCGCAGTGATGGATGCAGTCCCCAGCACAGCGTGGCTCGCCCTCGCCTCATCCTCGCTTGGAGCCGTCCTCGTTGTGGTGTCCATGTTCCTGCAACAACCCCGCACCTAGGCAGGCGGGTGATTGTAGGGATACATCCCCCATAGGGGCGGTGGTTGATGCGGTGCCCAGCACAGCATGGCTCGCCCTCGCCTCATCCTCGCTGGGAGATTTTCTCATTGTGGCCTCCATGTTCCTGCAGCAACCAAGAACTTAGGCAGATGTTTTGATGTACAGCCAGGGATAGGTGACAAATCACCCATGGGGGTGGTGGTGATGGATGTGGTCCCCAGCACAGCATGGCTCGCCCTCGCCTCATCCTCACTTGGGAGTTTTTTTTTTTCGTTGTGGTGTCCATGTTCCTGCAGCAACCACGTACCTAGGCAGGCGTTTTGATTGGAGAAGCTAGGGATACACCAACCATGGGTGTGCTGACGGACGTCACGCCTAGCACAGCATGCCTCGCCCTCGCCTCATCCTCGCTTGGAGCTGTCCTCGTTGTGGTATCCTTGTTCCTGCAGCAACCCCACTCCAAACCTAGGCAGGCGTTTTGATTGGTAGAAGCTAGCGATAGATCACCCATAGGGGCTGTGATGGATGCAGTGCCTAGTACAGCATGGATTGTGCTCGCCTCATCCTTCCTTGGAGTCTCCCTCGTGACTTCTGTGTTCCTGCAACAACCACGAACCTGGTCAAACATTTTGATTTTGGAAGCCAGGGATAAATCACCCATGAGGGTGGTATGGATGCAGTACACATCACAGAATGGTTTGTCCTTGCCTCATCCTTGCTTGGAGTTTTTCTCATTGCAGCTCCGATGTTCCTGCTGTCAAACATATATTGATATGTTATACGCTAGATAGGTGCAGTCCTATAGAGAGGACAACCTCTTAGACAAAACTACCTTGTACCTCTCATTCTACTAACAATCTGTTACTCTGAGATGGTATCACGCTAGTAGGTTAGGATCCCGCCCACCCGCGCTTCCGCCTTAGTCCTAGCCTTAGCCCGCGCCACCCGTCACTAGCCGCCTGTTACTAGCTGACCGTCGTAGCCGCCAGTTGCTCGTAGACCGCTGGCCCTCTGTCGCCTGTAACCCGCTGGCCGCCCAACGCCCGTAGCCCGCTGGCCGCCCGTCGCCCGTAGCCCGCTGGCCGCCTGTCGCCCGTAGCCCGCTGGCCGCCAGCCGCTTGTCGCCCGCTGGCCCCCGTCGCCCGTAGCCCGCTGGCCCCCCCGTCGCCCGTAGCCCGCTGGCCGCCCGTCACCCGTCGCCCGCTGGCCACCCGTCGCCCGTAGCCCGCTGGCCGCCCGTCGCCTGTAGCCCGCTGGCCACCAACCGCTCGTCGCCCGCTGGCCCCCGTCGCCTGTCGCCGCTGGCCGCCTATTGCCGTTGGCTGCCTGTCGCTGCCAGCCCGACCGTCGCCGCTGGCCGCCCGTTGCCACTGGCCGCCCGTCGCCTCTGGACGCTCGTCGCCGCCAGCCGCCCGCTGCCGCCAGCCACCCGTCGCTGCTGGCTGCCCGCTGCCACCAGCCGCCCGTAGCTGCTGGCTGCCTGTCGCCGCCAGCCGCCTGCTGCCGCCAGCCGCCCATCCCCGCTGGCTGCCTGCTGCCGCCAGCCGCTGCCGCCAGCCGCTGGCCGCCTGCTACCACCAGCCACTGCCCGTCGCCGCTGGCCGCCCGCTGCGGGCAGCCGCCTGCCGCTGCTGGCCGACCGTTGCCGCCAGCCCGCCCGCTGCCGCTGGCCCGCCTGTAGCTGCCAGCCAGCCTTGGTTCCTCCTCTGAGCCGGCGCTCCGGCTGGCTGCCTCCACCGCACTCCACCGCTCTCCACCGCCTTCCACCGCTCTGCACTGCACTCCACCGCACTCCACCGCACTCCACTGCGCTCCACCGCTCTCCACTGCACTCCACCGCCCTCCACCACTCTCCGTCGCCCTCCTCCTCCTTTCCTCCTCCCCTTGTCAGTGGCAGTCAGCTGCTGCAGCCGTGGTGATGGCGGGCTCTCTGCTCCGCCTGGACGCGGAGGGTCGGGCCGTTGAGTTTGAGGCGTGGCTCGTCGACCTCCGCCGCCAGCTGACCAGGCAGCGCCAGGACGGCCACTCCCTGACCATCCATGTCTACGGTAAGCTCCCTCGCCCCGCCCCGCCTGCTGCCCTCCCTGATGCCCCCACGTCTCCTGAGCGCGAGGTTGCTGCTGAGCTTGCCTGCGCTGTTTGGGATTCGCGCGACGCCATTAGTCACGCCCTCCCCCTGTCTGAGCGTCCCCGCTTTACCGCTGTAACGAACGCCAAGGAATACTTGGATGCCGTCATCGTACGCTATTCCACCCCCGACTCCGCCTCTGCCAGCCGCCTGATCCTCCCCATGTGTCACAGGTCCAGGATTTAGCAGAAGCTTGAATGATACTTATCAAGAATTGAATCCATAATTGAATGTCTACAAGGAAGGAGTCAATGCTATTTATACCTACGAGAACTCCAGGGAAGGGTAACTAGGACCTTCTAAGAGAGTTCTAGAGATGAGTGGAACCGTCCGTAGGAACACCACCTAGAAGCACGGTAGAGATTCTAGAGATATGGTGACGGTGACAGAACACTCCATGCAATAGAAAACGTGTCAAACAACCAAAGTCCAAAATACTACATAACACAATTGATATACATGAAATACATCAATCTATAGGAAACAGTGTAGGGATTTCCAGGAAAGGAAAGACACACAAAATAGCACACAATAAATAACAAATAGCAAATGGTTGTGATCAAGGATTCAGCAAGCCTCATCCTCTCACAACATGCTATTCTCTGACCTTGCGTCTTTCCCCACTGTCGCTGACCTTGCCACTCACCTCCATGCACTAGAGACTAGCTATCGCGCCACTAGCCCTGAGGCACAGCTCACTGCCTTTCCGCCGCCGCTTTGCGTGGCCCTTTACCTCATTGCCACGCGCCTACCTAACCGCCTAGCCACTGCCCGTGACCACTTCCTTAGGCAGCACCCAGGTCACCTCACTCTCACTCCCTTTGTCACCGCCCTGGCCGCGATAGAGACCCGCCAGCGCACTATCCCTCAGTCTAGCGGTACTGCGCCGGACCCTATCTTCCAGGGCTGTGCTCCTTCCGAGTGCACTTACTCTGACGTTTCTGCCGCTGTTCTGAGACTGCCCCTACTGCTGAGACCGCCGCCGCGGCCTCAGCGCAACAGCATCAGGGTAAGGGCTGCCGCCCCAAGGGGGGGTGTGGCGGGGGGAAGGGTGGTGGGGGTGGTGGGGGTGGTGGGGGTGGTGGGGGTGGTGGAGGTGGTAGCGGGGGCGGTGGTGCAGACGAGGGGACTGGAGCTGGTGCCGCGGAGCAGCAGCAGCAGCAACATCAGCAGCCTCAATAGCAGCAGCAGTAGTCCCAGCAGCAGCAACAGTCGCAGTGGGGGCCTCTGTCGCCGTGGTGGCCTGGCGGCGCTGGTGGTGGAAGTCGTGGTGGTGGGGCGCGCATCTCGGGGCTGGGTGGCGGCTCCAGTGTGGCCATTTGCCAGTACCAGCTTCAGACCGACCCCCGCCGCGGCACCGTTTGCGACCGTCCAGGTCACACTGCCGCCCGCTACTACCGCTGCCTCGACGACCTCTACCGTCTCCGCTTTGGTCCCACCTTGGACCCTCCTAACTGGTACGACTTGGCCTGCCGCCGTGTGCCTATCTTTGAGCTTGACATGGATCAGATAAGGACTGCTATGTATGTCATGTATGCCGATGAATCTAGTGTGACCGGATCTTATTACCCTGTGCTGCCTAGTGTAGGTGTGCCTCCTGTATCTAGTCTAGGTTCCCCTGCTGCGTCAGGCGTAGGACCTCCCACCTTGTTTAGCTTAGGCTCTACGCTAGCCCTTCCGCCGGCCGACGCTACTGCTTTGCTCTCCTTCAAGCTCAAGTCTGGAGCGTCTGCATGCTTCTTCCGCGACCGCACTGCGCTCACGCCACTTGCTGCCCCTACCGCTATAGCGCTTGCTGACCCCTCCTCAGGTCTGGTAGTCACACGTAGCTCCACTACCCTTCCCTATCCGGCGGTCCCCTCGGGCTCCCTTACAGGCTTGCACATCCCCTTGTTCTACCGGAACTTAGTCGGTGTTGGTTGTCTTTAGGACCTTGGCGTCACCACTACGTTCTCTGGACACGAGCAATATCCGTCTGCACCGAGGCTGCCACTGGTGCCCCTCTTACCACGTTCCCTTGGGACCCTGTGTCTAGCCTGTTCCCGCTGGACACTGCGTCCCCCTCAGTGGGAGTGTCCCCCCAGGTCGTCGCGTCCTTTGAGGTAGCTGTAGCCTACTTGTGTCGGTCACTCACCCACCCTTCAGTGCTGTGAAACCACCGCCTAGGTCACCCCGCACTCCCACAACTGCATCACATGTCCTATTACGGGCTTGTCCATGGTCTCCCAGCGTCACTCCCTGCCCTCCCTCCCTTGCCTACGCTGCCGTGCATGCCCTGCGTCGAGGGCCTGCTACGCAGTGCTCCCCATTACCAGTGCGCTACTCCACACCCAGAACCTGGACGTTTGGGGTCCCGCCCCCGTCCTTGGGCCGCATCGAAAGCGCTACTTTCTAGTGCTTGTCGACGATTTCACGCACTACACCACGGTGTTTCCCCTGGAGCGGAAGGCCAACTTGCCTAACGTTCTTATCTCGTGGGTCGTAGCTGCGCGAGTCCACCGTGGCCTTCCCGTGCTGCGTCTCCACTCCGACCGTGGCGACGAGTTCGCCTCTGGTCGGCTTGGCCTGTCTGTCGTACGGAGGGCATCACCCAGTCGTACACCTTGCCGGACTCCTCGCAGCAGAATGGGGTCGCTGAGCAACGCATCGGTTTGGTCATGGAGGTGGCTCGTACCTCCATGATCCATGCTAGTGCACCCCATTTTCTGTGACAGTTCACTGTTCGCTGCACCGCTCACCGGCTTAATCTGTGGCCACACTCCCAGCGCCCGTAGGTTTTGCCGACCCTTCTCTCGACCGGGTTTCTAGGTGACGCGTCTGCATTCCATGTCTGGGGCTGCCTTGCTCACGTTTGTGCCTCTAGCACGGACAAGCTCACTGCCTGCACCGTCCCTTGTGTCTTCCTTGGTTTCCCCCTCGATGCGTCTGACTGGCACATTTTCCACCCGCCGTCTCACTGTTTCTTTCACTCCTGTGACGTCACTTTTGATGAGTCTGTCTCCTTCTACACCCGCTTTCCCACCAAGGTCTCCCGATTTCCCCGTCCTTGTTCTTGGTCCCCACCCCACTGGTAGCCCCTGCTCCTCTTCCTCCCCATTTTGCCCCGTCTGGTGTGTGTCACGTCACTCCCCTCCCGTCGGTTGTCCCGGTCAAGGAGTCGGCTGAGTCTGGGGGCCCTGCGGCTTTGGTGTCGCCATCTGACTCCGCCTCGATGTCCCCTCCTTCGCTGCTGCCGCAACAACTGACGTCGCCACCGCAGCAGCCGCCGTCACCGCCGCAGCTGCAGCAGCATTCCTCGCCGCAGGGGTCCGCGAGCTCTGGGGGTGAGGGCGTTGAGGAGGGTGCTAGTCCTGGGGGTACTTTCGTGGCTTGTCCCGGCGGTCCTGGGGGTGGCATTGGTGTTGGAGAGGGTTCTCACTCTGGGAGTGCTGGTTTTGGGGGTGCTAGTCCAGAGGGTACTATTGTGGCTTGTCCCGATGGACTTGGGGGTGGCACCGATGCTGGAGAGGGTTCTCGTTCTGGGGGTGCTGTCGTGGAGCATCCCGAAGGTAGCCGTGGTGCACCTGGAGGTTTTGGTGTCGGCGTGGAGCAATAGCAGCAGCAGTCATCGCCTGTGTCTGCCCTTCGCCTCCTTG